AACAGCTAAAACAAAAGCTTGAAAGGCAAGGAGTAATAGTAATGCCAGAGAGCAGTCAACTGAAATGAGTTAAGTTTTTCTGGAAGACTAGACAATGTACATAAAACGGTCTCGGGTACGTCCTGTATTCTTAGCCATGTTGCGGTTTCCTTTCAAGTTCTTAACTGACCCGTAAGATTTTTGTGTGGAATTATCATGTTTTGTAGCCAATGCTGGTGCTGTTATTGTTGTTGTTGTTGTGCTTTTCGTTTGCTTTCGTTTTCGGTTTAATGCCCAGCAGTTGCAAAAGTCAACTCTAATGTATCTACTTTATGCATTTCCTCACATCACATGCTGCTTCTCATACGCACACAAACACGCGCACGTATACACATACATATAAACACATACATACTTAAGCTCACGCTTATGCACCAGCATGTTTATATAAATTTATTTGCATGTTTCTTTGTGCGCTTGTTTGTGTTTGTGAGCGCCTTTCTATGGCTGTATGTGTATGTGTGTGTGCATGGACATGCTATTTGTCCGAGTGCGAGAATTTATTACATTTTGAGCAGGCCAATATTGCTGCCAATGCCACGAAAGATATATGACTTGAGGCTAAATGATTTAGCAAAATGCCAGCGGTGGCAGGGGCGTGGAAAGTGGTAGGCGGACGTTGTCCTTAATGGATTTGCACTCTGTGATTAACTTATAAACTTCGAAGACGCACGCTTAAGCGGCATATGTGTGTTTACAAATAAATTACAGCAAAATTTTTGAGTTATATTTTGCCAACAACAATATATCAAAACATGCGGAAGAATGTACCAAGGCAATTTATGGTTCTATATTGCAACTGTAAATAAAATTATTAACATTTGACGTTTAAATGCCGTTTGCTGTGGCTGTGCCCACAAAATTCAAGACTTTAAGCAATTTAAATGCAACAAAATACTTTAAGCGCAGCTATACCGCACCTATTTAACATAGGCTTTATAATATTCTTCAAAAATTGGACAGTTTTCCTTACAAGTATTACAAGTATTTGATGATTTATAAAATAATTATAACTTCAGCTGGTTATATTAAGTTTGCTAAGTTTTTGCTTATAAGTCTAATGATCTCATTAATGATCAGCTTGACGAGCCAAGTAGATTGAGCCATGTCCGTCTGTACATCTATCTGTCTGTATATTTGCACTCATCCTTTTCTTCTCAAGGAGCCACTAATATGTCGGAACCGCCGATATTGGACCACTATAGAATATTGCTATCTTACAAGCTGAACGATGGGAAACAAATCTTAGTTTAGAAACTTTTTTTATTTGAAGAGATATCTTCACGAATTATTTCTTGAGACAACGGTACAAACAGTGAAGAAATTATGATGATTGAATTACCCTAGCATATAACAACAACTAGAATAGAAGAATCTTGATGAAAGATTTTCCTTTCCGAAATGGTTGAGAGGCTCTGCCTTAGATCGCTGACCCATATATATTGTTGGAATCTGAGAATTCCTGTCTCGTCTTCTATTGCTGCTAAATGATTTTAAACCCAAAAGGAGCGCAAATGTCAGTTTGTAATGTGACAAAAGTTGAGGCTTTAATGGAAAATAGTTCAGTTTCTGACCCTGACTCGGGTTATTATCATATTTGGTCCTTGGAAATCCAATTTTAGTAGTAAAAAGTCTATATATCCCCACATCAGCCACCAGTGTGTTAGGTAGCGACCTAACGACCATATATCTAAATAATTTATCTTCATGCAATGTTTATAAAAAAAAATATTTTGAAAGAAAAATTGTGCACTTAGCTATTAAAATGTATAATTTAAATTTCTACGAGTCAGCAGATCATCAGTCACTTTCATCCACCTCTTCTCACCTCCTGTCATTTCGCACACCCACATACATATGTGGCCCATAATTCAAGTTACAGTGATTGCGTTACCATTTTATAGACCAAGTAATAAAATAGAGATGCACATAAATTTAAATAGGTCATTGCCGTCCATACGTCATTCAGCGAACCGCCAACTGTCAATCACAAGCAAATGCAAGCGCATCATCAGCGACTAACAGCGGCCATCGAATGTAAAAGCTCATTTCCCGACACTTTATACTACAAAAACGTATTTGCAGTATTTATGAGTATTTTTTTTTGCTATTGTTGTCTTTTGATAACTCAGTTTCGGGGCCTGAATCTTTTTTTTTTTTTTTTGAGAGGTGCTTTAAAAACACTTTCAATTATTTTCTGACGTTTAATGGCGCGTCTGAACGGTGTGTGTCTATGCGAAATGTTGGAAAAGTGGCACCGATTGCCGCGTCAGCGACAGAGTCTATGTGTTTCTAGGTAATCGTGTCTTTATGGCACAGTGTGGGTTCTTAATTCACCTGTGGTGTGTTATTTTTCTATTTTATGTTTATAAATGTGTGTGTGCGGCTAATAAGCAGGCCAGAAACGACGTCCCTGTACTCAACACAAAAATAAGCAGCGATAATAAAAAAAAAACGAAAGAAGTTAAAAACGCTTTCATAAACCAAAATGTGATATACTCTCGTAATAAGTGGCGTTAAATATGCCAAATTGCCTTTTCACTCCACTTTCGTAAATTTGGCTTTGACTTGCAGTTAACGGAGATGAAATAAAAGTGCTTACCACCACACTGTTAATATAAAGTGGAAACGGGCATTATCTTTTAACAAGCAATTTTACGGTATTTTTATACATAGCACACACAYACACGCACGCACTTATGTAAGTGTATAGTAAACCCAGTAACAATATAAATAAGCGAAAAGCCGTTGAAGCATGCACTGTCTTGCCTGCCCGCTCACATCAATCATGTGCTGTACGTTAGGTTCTCAGCTTATGCTGCAATGCAAGCAACGAGAACGCACACACACATAGACATAATACACTGTTAAAATAAAAGCGCCCTTGCTTAAGCTAATGAAGCTCATATTCATAGTAAATCAGCGTTGCCATACTCCAGCATCTGACCAAGCTATTTGGGTGTGTGTGCACACATACAATCACACGGCTACAAACTTTTGTAAGCAATTTTCTCTGGTTATCTAATTTACTGTATTCCTCATATTTACTCCATAGACGTAATTTGTGATTTTGAACTTCACGTTTGTCACGTATGCTTAGTGAGATGGATTTGAGRTTTAAGGTACATGTATGTATGTATGGCGGGAAATGCGTGTGCTTTTGCATTATCTGAAATTTTCTTTTACTTTGAAATTTAGTAGAACATTAGCTGTAAATTGAGGAGTATAATGATAAAAGAGTACTTTGGACTTCCTAAATTCACATATTTCATACTTTCAGAATACACTATGTTATTATGTATGGAACTCGATTTGTTCTTGGCCACTGCCGGCATGCTTGCGGAATTCCATAACCCAACAACAACCCAATTTTTGACAGTTTTCAAGCATAAATCGGCCGTTGTCACGCTCTTGCCCACAGGGAATTCTCTAACAACGTCAAATCGCACGACCGACGCCATTCTACTGGGTCATTTCGTGAGATAACACATTCTCCATACTTGGTTTTCGATAAATCGATTGTGACGTTGGCTGTGTGGCTTGTGGCTAAGTCCTGACGGAACCACATATTCTTCAAGTCCATATCATTCAACCTGGGGCCAAAAATATTCGGATGCACATAAACCGCATCAGACCGTAATTGTGACTCATGGAGTACGTGTTGATTGCTGTCTGGCCAATAACACATATTTTGCTTGTTGATGAAGCCATTCACCTAGAAGTGAGCCTCATCGCGGAACATGATTTTTCGATGAAAATCCGGATCACTTTCAAGTTGTTGCTCAGCCCAATTCACGAAAATATAACGGTTTTGGTGGTCAAACGGCTTCAGTTCTTGCCTCAATTTGATCTTGTAAGGAAATACGCTAAGATCTTTTTGCCATAATTCGCCATAACGTCGTCACAGAGATGCCCAAGGTTTGAGAACAACGTGTAAGTGACTTATTTCGATCACTGGCATTATTTCATCATTATTTGTCACACTGGCAGGGGAACATTTTGTACTGTGCCTTGTGTGTGTGGTGGAAAAACTCGTTACATACTCAAAACATTTTGACATATGAGTGCTATCTGTGGTGTATACAGTTACATAAATGATTCGTCCGGGCTAAAAATGGAATCAAATCATGAACATGTATTCAATAGAATTTGTGGATCACTGCAAGGCGAATTTCAAGATGAACATGACAAGTTCGGTACCACTCGAAGACCTATAGAAGAGTTTCACGAAGCTAAGCATTTGCTAGAAAAGAAATGCAGGCAGACGTATTTCGCAGTGACTCATATGTAAATGTGTTGTAAGCTGAATAAATCAGAGTTAAGGGAACTTGTAAACGGTTTTGAAAACTTCTGAAAATTCAAAATTAGTTTGACTGTCATTCCAACTACACTAAGCAGGTTTGTTTAATAAAAGATATTAAAAGCAGCAATTACAAAGCAAAGAATAGAATATAAGAATGGTTGATAAAAAACCGACTTTTATCTCATAATAATAGATTTTATAATAAAAGTGAGTCTCTTGGTGTCAATTTCATATTGCAATACTGCCAGTCATTTATGGAAGCAATTCTAACTTTTCGGTCTACATTAATACTTGAAACGAGGGGCAAGTGAAGGAGTCTATCTCAGATATTCTATGATGTAAAAAATTTTAATAATTTCGACTCGTTGCTGGATTGTAACCTTTCCATGATGAAATGTCCTGAAGAGAAATATCAAAAGGGTCCGAAAAAATATGGGCTTCTTTACTATCAGTGTCGTTTTACTTTTGTGGTGCCCTATCGAAAAAACATATACTTAAAGGTAAGGAAAAACATAATCCTGATTAAATGGATATTTGCATCTTACGTTTATATAACGAGTGCTTATTTCTTACTAAATTCTCTCATATTACGAAGAAAATACTTAAAACTAATTTTCATTTCTTTGTTAAAATTCAACAACATATTGCTAAAACTCACCTGTATTGGCAACTTCGCATGGCAATCTTATTGTGTCGCCAGCAACGAATTTGAATGTCTCCGAACGTGAAATGAACATCGGCTCGTGCTTGTTCATCAAATTGCTAGACGCCAACACTGCAAATGGGAAGCAAAACAAAAGATGCAACAAATTAATAATATAACGATAATATTATAATATATGTATAGTGATTGAACGTGTGCTTCTAATACGCTGTTACTAAAAATAAATTTGCTTACATAAGTTATAGACCTCAGGAAATGTGGACAAGAACATATTCCTAACAGCCATACTTAGTCATTCAAAATGCAAAACAACCTACCATCAACAAACAAATAACATAAACTTATGAAAAGTGCTGTTACGTTATTTTTCATTTTGGGTGACAATTTGTTCGATTTTAATTGCGACTGTTTCAAGAGTCGCAAAAATAATTGCGTATACGCACTGGCCTGCACAATGATGCAATTGCAGTGATCTGCTTTGGAATTAATTATAATTTCACTTCAAATATTCACTTCGATTTCGGTTACTGCATTGTTCTTGTACTTGTGTCTAATTTCATTTGGAATATTTATGAATTTATTCAACGAGTATTATAATAAATATATATATGTTTGTGTAAGTTAAATAGTTGAACGTAAATATTTGTAATTTTTCTCGCTGCAGTGACTCTCGAAATCGGCTTGTCAACCCAAAGAACCACCGCATTGAGAAAAATTTCACAAATTTTATATTTTATCACTTTCTGACGAGAGAAATTTCAAAAGTATCTTGCATTTATTACTTATTAACTTAAAATTGAGTAAATTTTGTATGCCCTGAATAAGACAGGAAGGAAACTTCGGAGTCTTTTAAAGCACATTCAAAATGATCAAGCTGTTGAGAAAAGTCATTTAACCATATCCGTCTGTCCATCTACATACTGTAAGAAATCGTTTTGATATATAGCTATAGATGTCATACAAACTGAATAATCGGATTCAAGTGTTTGTATGAAGAGCACTTTTATTTGATGAGATATCTTCACGAAATTTCGCATAGATTATTGCCTAAGGTAATATTGTGCAAGGGAATTGTTCAAACTTATCGATCAAAAATATTTCGCTATATGGAAAACTTTTTAATTTAACAATATATTTTGACCAAACTTGGCACAGATTATTGATAGTAAGGAGGCATATAACTGTCATACAAACTGATTGATTACAATTCAGTCTTTTCATACCGTTTTATCGTGTCAAAAGAAACGTACCTAAGTGTATTATAGCTTGGATGCAACCGAAGTTATCTGAGTTTTAAACATTTGGTTATTATATTTTTCTTTCCCAAACTGTAAAATTACCTTAAACTCGTATACATCACATTCATGCAAACAAGTTATGGGTAAAGCAAGTTTATTTACAAAATATTAATTTAAAAATAAAACGACGTTAGAATTACGCAATACCAAAACCAAAAACCGCTGACATCTGCGCTTATCTATGTAAGCTGAAGTGGTAAGAAAATGTATAAAATATAACAAAATACTGAAACATGTCTAATGAGAACTTCATAAATATTTATAAACTATATTAGCTTATGATTACTCATATAAAGAAGGATAGCGTAGCTGCTTCAGTATTTAAGTGACAGCCGAAAAAGCGACTGAATTATTAATGAATGCTGTAAATTTTTACTTTATATACAGAACAAATATTGCATTTGAATGCTTAATGCGAAATATGTATGTATGTATGTATGTATGTATGTATGTATGTATGTATGTATGTATGTATAGATACTAATGAGTAAATAACTATGCTTGCATCGTCTCAAAGGAATTAGCACTAGAACCAAATAAATAACTCTCCCGCGTATACATATACGCACATGACAAGCACAATTATACCAAGCTTAACTAGAAAATACAAGCAAATACATTTTCACATACAAACATACATACAAATGTATAACCAAGCACTTCACACCTAACATGACAAGTCGAATCGTTGTTAATGCCAGGAGCAACATGTTTATCAACGCCATTGTCACCATAGAAACGCATGCATAGACGCACGCACACATACATGCACACAATGAGTTTGCGCATATATTAACATAAAATATGTAGGCGGCAGCAAAAAGCAGCAAAGCAGCCATTGCCAAGCGTTATCACCTCAAAGCAATTCACGCGCTGCCGTTATGCAACACAAGCATTGTTGCCATGTCATCTAATTATGGTCCATCAGATATTGCAACCATGAATATATTAATTTTGTGATTTACTCCAACATTGCAGTGGAACAATTCATCTTCAAACCACAAACACACACACACACACACACTCAAGCACTTAAATAATACTCTTACAAACACAGAAATACACAGGCAAATACTCATACACGCTTCCTGTCTGCTGCTGCTGCCGTCTCGTTGGCAAAATGGAGTACATATTTTATAGATTATGCGCAAATCTACAAGCCACAGTCAGATTATTTATGAGGTTTGATGGCACATTTCACAAATAATAAGGCTCGTACGTAATTAATTCGTGTATGGATTTCGAGAAAAATAACATAAATGGCTTATGGCAGCAGACACACACATACACGCAGACACTTGCAGAGTGTATATTTATGTACATTCAATTGCATATGTATTAGTAGCCGTTATATATGTGTTGGTATTCACTTCAGCCGCCCCAACTGGCAAGTGTATTGAAGCTCCGGTGCGCCACGACGTATGAGTGACACTTGTTTACAACGTAGCAGGCTGTCGAATAAGCAGTAAACCCTGCTGCATGATTAAATCACTTGTTGCTGGTGCTAGCATCTGTGATTATGCCACACCATTCGATGTTGTGTGTGTGTTATGAGCTGGTGAACTGATCGAAATTTGTATAAACATATATGTACATACATGGGTAAGTAAGCCATGTTATTGTGGTTATTGTGCCTCGATAGAGATTTTCATACGAAACTAGTACAATATTAAATTTTTAAATTGTGAGCAGGCAATAATGTAGTCAAAGATATCACAAAGGCAGAAAATTGAGATTATAATTAAATAAAAAACAATTTTTATTAGGAAGAGTACTTATTTTAGTGTAAAGAAAACTAACTATTAGAGAAATGTACAAAGAAATATAAATTTTAATATTCAAAGAGCTTTTCTTTCTAAAGATGAATTGTTCTATTTAATTTATTCCTTTTTGTTTATTTTTTAAATAATTTAAACAGTTTACAATCACTTAAAGCGATTCCAGCTGTCGGAACGTATCGCGATGAACATATAAGTGCACAGTTTAGTTATCAATAAAGCGCTTGTCATACAATTTACAAGGTGTGTTCTAAAGTAAACAGAAAGTTAAAAAAAAAATCAGGAAAAATGTTTTTTCGGCAAAATTAATTTATTTTATTCAAAATAGTTTCCTTCTGCCTCAATACAGCTTTTTACACGGTCCAAAAGCAAAATATCTATACACTAAAATGTTTTTAAACGCCTACATTAAGGCGCATTGATTTATAATACATTGCTGTGGAAACAAGGAATGAGCTAAGGTATTTTTGGGAAGGTAATATCATCAGTATGCCGACGATGACAACATGCATGAATTCTATTGTTTCATTTGAAGTATCCGCAGTACCAAGCAATAAAAATCACTACAGAAATTTTTTCGTACAACTATTTCCAATTATTTACTTTGCGGACTAGAAACAAACGGTTTTACCCTGGTCGGCTTGTGAGCTATGTCAATTTTGGTTCTAACCGATGCCAGAAGAAGTGCCGTTACATAGTTTATGAGAAGTAGTATGCGAATTTCAATATTTATCGATGCCACTACCAGTGTCTCATACCGCTAGACCCCCAAAAGTGTTAAACGTGGCTTTGCTAGTGTAGAACAAGTGCACAAGAAATGCTCCTTTGTTTTCTTTGGTTTTGCTCTTGACCTTTTCTGCAGTCATCTTTAACTGTCAACCCCATTCTGCAAGCATGTGCCGCCTCCTGATTGATACAAGTGATTATTCCAATATCTAAATGAGTGACTAATGCAGTTTTTAATCCCGATGGATTCTTTCATCGTATTTCCATATGCCTTGCAATCCTCTTGTCTACGTAGTAGATCGTTAGCACAATGCTTGGCTTATCTGCGTTATTGAATCACAGCCGTACACCACTCGTGGCAATCTCGTTCACTATTTTATTGCCACCTATGCTTTTGTGACCTGGAATCCGGTAGAAGTGAAGATGCTGACTCTACGGGTGCTTGCCGATGCATTAGAGGCTAGCTCCTCACCTTTCCCAATAATATACACTGGATTGTTTATTGTTGTTATCTATCTTGTTTTTTGGACAGCATATCCCCGCACCAACTCCATTTTCGTTCTCCATTTTCGAACCATCCATTTAAACGGACTTTTTTAGCACATTTCTTAATAGTTTTTTTGACATTGACTTCTCAAAAATATTGATATTTGTTTCAATAAATTATGTAAAGTTGTATGGTAATACTAATCCTGTACAGGAATTTATGAGGTAAGTATTTATACAGTTTTGAGTTTGAACACTGAGATCAGTCCCTGTTTCCTTCTGTTATGTTACTTTTGTTAAGTTTGCAGGTTACCTTTCGAAATAGTACCCAAATAGCTATGCTACAACCCAACTTTGGTGTTTTAGCACATTCTTTACGAATTCTCTATAAATTTTGTATATATGCGAGTTGACCTACTTTATATAAGGCAGCCATACTGCAAGTTTCTAAGATTTACCAAATAAAGCAAATAGCTTACATAACTTCTATACCGCAGATAAAAAAAAAACCTGCTGCCGAGCTTATTATCAATAAATTAATGTTATACTCTTATTTACTTATTTAATTATGACGAGCACTGAGCTGTTAGGCGAGGAATTATATTCAATTTATTTAAGTTGCGGCCTTCGAAAGTTTGGCCAAAATATATGCATTTGATATGCAAATAGCAAATAGATGCCATCCTCCTTGCAACTAACCGACATATTTGACTTATCAAATCCTTTTAAAATATTATAAATTATATGCACACACGCGCACCGACGCATGCGTATTTGTGGCAAATTAATCCTATTAGTAAAATTATAAATTCCATGGAAATTG